ATGGTTAGGTCTCACTTTTTATTATTATTCATCTTCCTCTAGAGAGAGCTTTCTCAGCAGTTTCCATCTCTTCAAGAATCCTCGCCTTCCTCTTCGCCGGAATGGGAGCAGTCGGACCAAAACTCACATAATGACCGGAAACAGCATTCAAAGCCGAGTAAATATCCCTAAAAGAAGCTTTTCCGAGAAGAGCTTTCTCTTTCCGGTACTTAGCAACCCAAGAGTTCGACGCTTCTCTCAGCTCAGCCACCGCATCCGCCACATTCGGATCTGTCCTCTCCATCGAAAGCGTCGTTCTCACTTTACTGATCACTTCCGACGTATCTTTAACGTACTCTTCATCTTCAGCCGCAGAAGCCGGTGCCGGAGCAAGAAACGGAATCGATTGCGTTATAAGAAGTGTTGATGTTGCGGTTAGGGAGAGGAAATCGCGGCGGTGGAGGTTGTGGTGGCGAGGAAGCGGCGGAGATACGGAGGCGGTGATGATCGGTTTATGCGGCGGAGGAGGATTCGGTTTGAGAAGAGTAGCTGTGGCTGATGCAGAAGCCATTGTCGGAGAAAGGTGACTGTGAGAGAGTGAAAGAGTTTTTGTGTGTTTGTAAATTTTGGAGAAACATATTTTTGGTGGTGTGTTAGGTTTTTGACACGTGTCCCTTATCTTCTTATCTAGATTGTATGGTTTTTGTAGATCAGACATGAAGATCTTCAGTTGGAACAATGAGTTTTTCTGATGTAGATTCTTTGGGTCCCAGTGCCAGGTCAAGATTTTGGTTTTTTTCTTTATGGGCTTCGTTTGTTTTACTTAAAGCCCAGCTAAGTTAATGTTGGCCCATAAGTTATATTGAATCCCATATGACATGTGAGTCATTTTTCGTGGCCTTGGTTTGAGACTTTTAAGTATATAAAGTATAGTTTTGATAATCTTATTATATATAATTGGAGGATATTGCATTTGGATAAATTGACCCACAATCACGTGACATTCTATAATTTCTTTTGCTGTCATACACATGGGATGATTATAATGATGAACCCTTTATTATCTCGTTTTTAAGAAAAAATTATTACAAACTTTATGTGGAGATTAATAGCAAAAGAAAGGTTGATAATGTAATCAGTTACATCAAATGATAACTAGTTTCCCAATCAAATAAATCTGTTCATATCCGTCAATACAAGCGATGTTACTATTTTTGTAAAAATTTTGAGTACGAAAGTTTGATTCGGTCTTTTCACAAATTATTGAAAAGAAATTATCTGGATCACTTTCTAATCTTT